TTAAATTAAGTCTACCAACCGCGCGACCCATTCCACCTCTGCCGATGATGCAGAAAACCTAAATGGAAAGCCTGCCTCTAGATCCACCCGTGGGTGGATGGTGCCGCCAATGTGAGTTGATAAAGTTCCACGCTACTTTGCTTGAGACTTTATGAACTTCGCTACACAAATTTGAACGGCTTGCCTGTGGTGTCAACCATTTGACTTGCCTTCACTCATAAATTATGTACGAGTACAAGAACAATAACAGAGAAGAAGCAGGAAATAAAAACTAAAGGAATGATGGGAGCAAAGGGCAAAGTTCTGGAACACAATGATAACATCAGCGGCGACGATCTCCGTCGGTAACTTTAATTAAAAATCTTCTAGGCGCTAAATGAATTAGCTATACGGCATAGGAGATACCAATTCTGCATAGCTGATTCATTTAGGAGTTACCAACATCAAGCAACACAAAATAAAAGCGAAGTAGGCGCCATTTATTGTCAGTCAATGAAATGCCTGACTTAATAACATTACCAAAGCTTACCATGGCCATTTTTTCAAATTAAAACACAAAACATAGCAAGGTAGTTTAACAAAAGTTAAACCTACGTTAAATTCACAGAACTGGTGCTAAATAAATAAAAACGATTTTCAACGCAAATGTCCGCACGACAACGTATTCGCTACTTGCAGGAAAGCTCTACAAAACTTGTACTGCATCTGCTTATAGCATTAGCCAGCAGGCAAACGTACGTACGACAATTAAGTTCAAATGAAATTACAGTATACTTTCTATGCATCACTCGAAAGCTTAAACGTTTATTGTTTAAATGAAATCACAGAACAGCATTAGTTTACAGCATTGAACTGCGCAATTATAAACGAAAACGAGATATGTTACGGATAGGAATGTGTTCGCACCGTCATCACAGTAAAATGGCTGCCTCGAAAGTGAACTATGTTACAATGAGCATCGTCAGATATTGCTGCCTTACTGAATTGCAGTTCCTGACGATGCGCACTATCGCTGAGACAATTGCCTTCTGGTAAAACTCAGTGCGATGTTCACAAACCTAGATTTAATGCCTGAAAT